CTCTCTCTCTCTCTCTCTCTCTCTCTCTCTCTCTCTCTCTCTCGCCCCCCTCTCTCCCCCTCTCTCGCTCTCGCTCTTGACCAGAAATCCACCAAAAATAATGAATACATTCGAGCTTTCAGTATCCTGAGTTAGAAGTGTGTGGCAAAATACAACTCAGACAACACGATCATATACATCTATCGTTTTTATTTACAGTTATTGTTTAATTATAATATCGTTAATTTCGAATGTTAGACAGTGGCCTGCTACTTTTTTCTGCACTCACTTACTCCTTCTAATGACAGAAAGCCCAGGAAGAACTAAAATTAATTTATACCTCCTCGCAGGGGCAATCAATGACCCGATTGAGTCAGTGTCTGCACTAGGTATGTATAGTTAGTTGCACGTGGTAGACTGGTACGACTCTCAGTGGCCGGCCAAGCACGCGTCAGGTAATTTTTACGGGGAAATCACGGGTTCAACGGTCTGCGCGCGCCCACTCCACCGAGAACTTGTTCCCGCAGCCAAACAAATGGGTGGGTGTGTGAATTTCACTTTGTTTGACCGGTTTGTTTCGTGCTGCATTTTTTCGTCGACGCTCCATTCTTTACGACCCTTTGTTACAGTACCCGTCCAGGAATGTGGTTTTTGGGTCGCCCGATCCCGACTGCCTTATCTATTTAAAAGCACGGCCTTTGACATTGCTCCGAGCTTCCGAATTTAAATAAGTTCTCGCCCACAGTATCATCCTCTAGACTTCAAACACTGCTTTAGATCTTACCGAGCGTCAAATCAAAGTTCAACGATGAGCGAATCTATGTAATTTTCACAATGAGGTCATCGTTCATCATGCATTGCATGCATTTCGATTCATTCACTTTCCCCTACGCTGTAACATGTTAATCGTGCGCTTGAATGAAGTAATCTTTAATAATTGCAACATCACTTTCAGACTCGATTCACGATGACAATGAAACAACCAAATAAGTACGTATACTAGACAGCATTGAGAGCATGTGAATGCTACACATGCTTCGCCGACTGTTTCCCCCATACAAGTTCAATGCCCTACAGCAACTACCCTAGAGAATATATACATGTGATGCTCACAGCCACAGGAGCACTGAGTGCCCAGACAGGAAAATTACTAACTAATGAGCCAAAATTACGAGGTGCTAAAATTTTGTTTACAACATCACGCAGTAAGACTAAGAGTTGGCATGCTAGCAATTTTAAAATTCAACACGTATTCCATGGCACGTGTATTGTTTTCCACGTGGCGCTTCGCTCATTTGCTGCAATAGTATACCGTCATGCGAACTTCATTGTTTTTACCAAACTTCAAACTTGTAGTCATGCATAATCAGAATATTGATCTTCAACACAAATTCAACACATTCGCACAACGTACATCGGCAACGTTGGAGTGTGTTCGAATTACTTTAGGTTTCACCCGTGCACATGATTATAAGAAGTTTTGTTCAACTGAAAATGCAATTCAACGTGGTCGCACGCACGGACGCACGTTTTTTCCCAATGAACCATGACTGTTTTATACGCGGCTCTATTTTTAGACAGGCCAACTAACGTTTCCTCATACCAACGGCAACGTCACACAAGGCCGCACATGTACATACACACTATACGTACATAAATGGTTAGCTCTGTCATTCATAAAGTCGAGATGTTGCCCTGAAGCAAGTTTTTCTATATATACATGTACTGATCAGTGTATCACACACTTAAAAATTGCATTTGAACGTTTACTCACAGACCATAATAAAATGGTGGGGGCACAAGTGCCCGCACGCACGCACGCACGCACGCACACGCGCAGAGACAAACACACAGATACGTACACGCACATACGCTCATTAGATTTGGTAATATGTTGCATCGTAATGATCGTATGGTATTGCATATTGTGATTAACACACAATTTTAATATGAATGTAGCAAGGCTTGATAAGGACCTCAACTAAATATCCGGCGTATTGTCTGCTGCCAAGGTCATATCATATTAGCAGAATGGCTTCTTTCCACGAGTCTTGATTAGGATGGGTTTAACTACACTAACAGGTACACACAAATACACACGGAGAAAGGAAAATGTTTACGTAGTTACTAGTAGTCACTGTTTGTTCATCCGTGTTGGTCCAAACACGACAGTGCCGCTAGTCGGGCTTGATCACAAGATGTCACCTGAACTTGCTCTAGAATTATAGCCCTTCGCTCTGCCACAGGTTGTGGCAGAGCGAAGGGCTATAGTTCTAGAGCTACCCCTGAACTTGCCATTGCAGCAAACCATCTCCAAGTTTCCGACTACGGCTAAATTTATACCAACATTGCAGAAGAATGGGCCATACACGTTCAAGATGTGTTGGCTAGAGCCAGTAAAAGAATGTTCATGAAAGACGTTATTAATAGCGTATTAAGTATGACGTATTACATACTTAATACGCTCTTGACGTTATGACTTAATACACATGACTGACTACACTACAAAATTCTTGACTGGCATATCTTTACTCGCAGCGAATGTGTGTATACTACTGCTTAGACAGACGTTCCACCATCAACGCGACTCAGTTCTATGATGCAATCACACAGATGCAAATTATGCGTGCGTGTGTGTTTGTTTGGTGTGTGTGTGTGTGTGCAATTGTGCATGCGAGCGCGTGCGTGCGTGTGTGCAAATTGTAAGGAATACAAGGAAAGAACTTCTCAAATACTCGAGGGAGTTCGCACTGACTGAGACGATCGACAGACAGCACGCCGGGACACTTACGCTTGAGACCTAGTTTATGCATGTTCGCATACTGTTCTTGCTGCTGTCGCAGCCAGGCGGCCCGATTGCTCTGCAAGTTGTTATCCACCTCCATAGTAGAGCAACCGCCTAGCAGGAAGCTCTGTGACTGGAGAACCATGGGATAATGAATGCACGTCGGGCCCTCAGCCACCGTCCTCCAGCGCAAGTGTGTGACCGTACAGGGAGGCGGCTGTCCCCTCGCTCAGGTTGACCCTACACGACCACCTCTCTTCCAACTGACCGTACAGGTGCGGGAGGGACGCGGTAGTCCCCTCGCTGGTTGATCCTACGCGACCACCTCTCCTCTAACTCCACGGTAATCTACGAATCAGGAGAAGCGGGGCCACGTTGCCTAACACACACAGACGTACACACACGCTGTACGGATCCTCCTGTCAAATGTAGCGTGCGGGGGGCGATGGCACAGAGATTGTTCTTCCTTCTCTCTCTCACTCGGTTGCCCCCTTTTGTTTTCACGATCCGAGACTTCTGTTTTCCACTACAGGGAACACACGGTGCCTGCGTCAGTCACACACGCTAAGAGAGCTCCTACAAGTCGGCTACACGCACGACGTCGTCGATGATGCTTCGATCGTCGAAGCGAAAAACCCCCACGTTCAAAAAAACGTTCGTGTTATCTGCGCCTTCCGCGGCACACACTGTATGTCAGCAGCACGTACGGCCGCCGACGTCTGGCTCCGAGGCGGAGAACGAGACGTAAATCACGCGTGATGGTGGTGGTGCGCCAATACGCAATTAATTTCACGCGGCAGACGTAATTACGTGTTCAGTGCTACTTGACCGACCAGCAGACTGTCTCGTTGTCGTCGTCGTTGTTGCTGCAGCAGCCGCCGCTTCCACCCCCGCCACGTCGCATAGCACGAAGACACGAATCAACGCAGTCACGCTCCCCACACACCTGTCACCACCGCTCCACACACCTGTCACCACCGCTCCACACACATGTCACCACCGCTCCGTCGGCGTAGGAGTTAAAAGACGCGTAGAGACATGCGGCTGTGGTTCCACACCAACACCTCCGCAGCGCACGCACGTAGACGATACAGCCGTGGCTACTCGGGAAAGTAAACGCTGGGTATTCGACGACAGTCAGCCTTGTCGTGGCGTCACGTGAGTAAAACGGAGCACGGACGAGGTAGCATGTAGACTATAGCGTCGGCACGTCCGTGGATGCCGACGTTATATACAGCGTTGTTCTCGTGTACGCTAGTCACGCACGCACACTGCGTTTATACCGGAATCACACGTCCCCGGTTCCGTAACAAATGGCTGCTCGCCCGCCTTCCTCGAGTGCGAAGAGCGACAGCCTGCCTAGCTGCTGCTGCTGCTGCTATTAGCTCGGGTCGAACTAGTGCGGCGCACACACACACACCCACACACGAGCAGCGTTCACTCACTCACTGTAGGCGTGAGGTCTGTTCTCTCACCCGCTCCGTGCGGAGTTAGCTGCCTTGCCGCGCGTTCGTACGTACGTAGAAACGTCCAGCCGGATGTTAGCGCTGCTGCTCATGGGATGTGTCATGGGTTGCTGCCGCAGCAGCTGACTAGTGACTAGCCACGTTCAGCTGTCGCTCTCACGCATGTTTATCTCACAGCAGCGGACCTACGCCTCTGAACAAGCGGCGGAATTGCGCTCACTGCCTGGCTGGCGATTGCTCTCATGCAAAATGCATGCGTGCGAATTACACAAACAGTCGCCTTCCGACGCCGCAGCACCGACTCACGGCAGATACACACAGCGCTGATAAACTCACGCACACGCACGCACGCACGCATACGCAGAGAGTGCGCGCACGTGACTCTCCTTCAGCGCGGTAAGATAAATTTAAACACTGCTGAAAGTTATACCCTTCGCCGCAGCGCACACACACACACACACGCGCGCGCGAGTAGTCTGCCTGTATGCTCCTGCCGCCGCTGCTACTGCTGCTCGCTGCCAATGAACCGACGCTAGCGCCTGCTGCTGCTGCTGCGTGGCGGCGGTTCTCGGCTGTAAACCAGACAGACCAGCTCAGCCAGTCCAGACAGATAGCGCGCGCGCACGATCAAATCACCGTCTTGCAAAACCCATGCTGCTGCTTGCTCGCTGTACGTGGGTGAAGGCAGGCAGGCAGGCGGGGAGGAGGCGGGGGGGGGGAGGATGGGAGCCCATCCGTGAAATCACGGCGGCGCTGTGCTGCGGCAGCGACGGCCGGCAACGACGAGAGCTTAGAGTTAGTCTGTGTGTCTGCTATTGTGCCGACAGCACGTACAGCAGCAGCAGCAGCGGTAGCGGTGGTGGTGGCGGCGGCGGCGGCCCCGCTCGCTCCACTCTTCATAAAACTTGCATGTTGCATGACTGCAGTGCGATTCGTGTCGCTGGTGAGGATGAGAGATGAATGAACCAGCAGGGTTCGCCGGACGTATGTGTGGTGTGTGTGTGTGTGTGTGTGTGTGTGTGTGCGTGCGTGTGTGTACGTGCGTGCGTATGTGTGTGTGTGTGCGCGCGCGTGCGTATGTCTGCATGTGTGAGCGTGTGTGCGTGCGTGCGAACGTATGTCTGCATACGTGTGTAGGTGGCGTGTGTGATACATATCCACACGATCATGTGAACTATACCGAGAATTGTGACGTCTGTAAATGAAGCCCTAAAGCACTTACACGTGTCAAATATAGATTGCGAGGCTGTGCGATTTCTGCAGCGCAGAATGCGAGACGGTTTCCGCGAAAAACTACTAAAACTGCTAGCCGCGTCGATTCTGGGCCAGTCTCCGATTCCCACGGCCATAGACATTAACTCGTGTTTGAGAATTTATGGCGGGTAATGCGAAGCAAAAAACCACGCGCATTTTTTTTTACGGACAGACGCTTACTAAGTACTAAGTCCGTCGTTACACTGCTGCTCCATGAGATCTCATTTACTTTAATACAAGTATAATGTTATAATTACCAACGGGTTTATGAACATACATTGTTGTCATGCGCATTCAGCCCCCCCCCCCCCCACCGTTGTTACTCTATATGTCATACAGTCAACCCCATGTTAGCGCTTACCTCTATAGAACGGACACCTGGCTGTAAGGGACACTTTTATGCATCGAATGACGACTATACCGTGAAATCAACTTTACAGAACGGTCACCTCTATGCGTATAAACAGGACATTCTTGCGCATCATGTGATTGCGCCTTGTATACAGTTTGACTGTATACATTGAGTCATAGTTTTTGTAGATTGTAAAGGGCACGGGTATGAATCGACACTGTGCAGGCAAGCATTCTATTTCAATTACATCATTCCAGTGATTCCACGCCTACAACGCAATGACCGAATGCGAATTCATATATCTTCTATCTATATCTCATAATATTATGATCTGAACTTCTGTAGATTCAAGCTCCACACATTACTTCGTTCCACTTACAAATATACGGACCCATATTAATCACGCAATGCATGATAAACAACGCCACGACTGTCGTCTACACTGCATTCAGTCGCATATGCAGAGAGAGAGACTTTGAACCTTACGATTGTACCAACGCAGCATCATGTGTGCACGCACCGGACCAAACGGTCACACGGTACAACCGTTAGACTGCGTTCTATGTAAATGAGAACAAATTGTTCACCATTCACGCGCACGCACGGGTGCACCGGTACTGTACCACCTTAGGGGCGAAATTTGAGCTGCTCTTGCGCAATACTCGGTAGATGCCGCCCACCTATAATATCTCTAGTACGTACTACGACTACCTCCTACGCGTATCAATCCAAGTAACTAAGGAAGCAACGTAGAGGCACCGGGGAGGCGTGAACGCCTATGCCTATCTACGGTACGCCAACTATCTTCAAGAAACGTTATTAGCGAATGTGAATCAGTGTGAGTCATCCATCCATCGAACACCAACGCGGCAGCTGGATAGGTACGGAGGTGTGTGTGTGTGTGTGTGTGTGTGTGTGTGTGTGTGTGTGTGTGGTGCTGGGTGTGTGCTGATGCGTGCCCGTGTGTGCATTGTGTGAGCGCTCGCGTGTGTGGTATGGCGTATGTTCGCGCGTGCGTGTGGTATGTACTCCGAACTAGTAATCCATTACTAATGCCGTTACTAATGATAGCATGCCGCTACACAGTCATGAATGAGTCAGTGCAGAAAAATCGTTGGCGTCGGCTCCTGTAGATGAAAGCTATGTGACGACACCATTAGCCCAGTGCCTCTCACACGAACGTATCTACTGTTCAACAACAGTACTGCCGATGAATAAGCAAACCAACACACCGAGTTGTGAATGAGTCACCCTATCAGCAGTTAATAATACGATTCTGCTCAAAGGTACCTTCGATGTTCCGAGATCAGCCAAAGTGGAGAAATTACATGTACGTGTAGTTTGTAGTACATATGCATGTATGTTACGCCTCTAAACGTGATTTGTTTAAGGTAACATCACTAACATCAATGTAACATGTTAACCTATTTGTTGCTTCTTAGCCTAGGGATGGATACCGTTGTTGTAAGTTCGCCCAGCAGCACTTCAGGGTTAGGCCAAACAAAAAAATAGGTGTGTTTCCTATTGCATCGAAAACAAAAGTAGGGTAGGTAGGTAGGGATTTTTTTTTAAATGATTTTTTTTATTCTTCGGTTCCTAATATCCCTCTGATGCATGCTATAAAGTGGTGTATAGGTAGGGATAAGTTAGTAAGCAAGTACAGAACGTGTTTGTAGTAAAAAATCTCGCTTTTTTTTTTTTTTTGAAGTTTAGGGTTGGCCCTAATAATCTAGGGACGGTCGGTCGACCGGAAACACACCTATTTTTTTGTTTGGCCTTAGTCAAGAAACTCAAGACTTTCTATGCAAGATGCCGACGGCCGCCGGTTTTTAAACAAATGTATACATGCACTATGTACGCGCGTAACGACCTAGCAACCAGACCAATAATAGGCTCTAGATTATTTATTTGCGTGACCGTGATTTCTTTCCAGATTGTAATTCAGTTATATAGCTTTTACTGACACTTATAATATATACAAGTGTCTGCAGATATTATGTGATGTTATGAATACAGATTTGGCAGGTAAAACTATGGAAGCTTTTCATAGCTTTACCTGCCAAATCTGTATTCATATAAACACCACATAATCTGCAGACACTTGTATATATTAATATGTACATATAAAATAATCTCGCACACAGTACTTGCATACGCAACACGAGATGTGTGCGAATTGGAATGCATGTGCGTGCGCGTGTGTGCCTTAAAAAAATGTGTTTTCTCATTTCTTTCTCATTTCCACTGCCGACTTGCACGATCCAATACTGATAATGATGATTTAAAACGTCATTTAGCAGTTTTAACGATGGGAAAACTCATTTGTAACAATTCCACCGTGTACGCGTTAAACCTTTGTAAATTACCAACAAGAACTAACACGATTTTAAAAAGGCCTCGCGGTAAAACTACACCGCACATAATTGCCACCAGGTGGCATCACCTATCATGGTGCACATTGAGGCAGGCGAGACAGTAGGGGCGTGCAATCTCTGAGCGCTGGTGAGTCATCGATCCAACAGCCGTATTTCCACGAGCCTATCCGTGACTACATGCTCACACTGTTCACTAGCAAGCATCTCAGGTCACTATAGACTCCCAGGCATATGCTACTGCCTCTAAACAGAACCATGTGTGTGTGCGTGTGTGTGTGTGCGTGCGTGCGTGCGTGCATGTGTGGGTGTGTGTGTATGTGCGTGCATGTGTGCGTGCGTGCATGTATGTGCGTGTGTGTGCGTGCGTGCGTGCATGTGTGTGTGCGTGCGTGCATGTGTGCGTGCGTGCGTGTGTGTGTGTATGTGCGTGCGTGCGTGTGTATGTGTGCGTGCGTGCGTGCGTGCGTGTGTATGTGCGTGCGTGCGTGCGTGTGTATGTGTATGTGTGTGCGTGCGTGCGTGCGTGTGTATGTGTATGCGTGTGTGCGTGCGTGTGTATGTGTATGTGTATGTGCGTGCATGTGTGTGCGTGCGTGCGTGCATGTGTGCGTGCGTGCGTGCGTGCGTGCGTGTGTATGTGTATGTGCGTGCATGTGTGTGCGTGCGCGCATGAATGCGAATGCGTTTGTGGCGGCGCATTTTGTGTACATGTACATTAATATCCATATGGACCAGGGAAAAAATTAATTTTTCGGGGCTACTTTGCAAGCTCGCGTGCATGAAAATAGCACTCTAAAATTTGGTTTGCATTGAACTCTATGAAAATTTACAGGGGCTCTTTTTGGCATTTCCGGTGCTCTTTTTGGCATTTCGGAGGCTAAATCGCCCCGAGCCCCCGTGTATTTTTTTCACTGGTATGGACGTACGCGTATTTGTGCTTAAGTGCGTGCATGTTACAAATATGACATTGCATATATTCAGACATGCGTAGTTTTATGTGCGGTAATTATATTTATACGAGTTAATTTGACATATATATATGTCACTCAAGAAAGATATTATAATATTTTGCATAGCTCCATACCTCCTACCCGCTATAGGCTGGCGTGCATTTTTAATCGTGCAAGCGTACGTTTAAGTATATACTTAACGTTTAATTAATTAAATTAAAAGTAATTAATTAACTTAATAGTTGATTATATAGCATAGTTAACACTTACCTGCAGAGTTGTCGATGAATACTCCAAATCCAACACTAGTAGACTGTGTAGCATTAACACCGTCTAGAATAGATAGATAAAAGAATTGCCATGGTTAGTTTCCAACATTCTTATATTAAAACTATTAAAAATGCTTTTTAAGTTTCTGTAACCATAGATGTAACATCACAGAAAAATAGTACATGTAGTAAATTTAATAAACGCAGTTGACACAAAAACCCTCAACTGCATTTGTAAGGTTAAACTTGACAACAAAAACTGTTTCATTATATAATATCCTGATAAT